ATTGCACCACGCAGGCCAGCATGTCTTAGTTCTAGAAACTTTTCTGATTCCATAGCGCGCAAATACCCAGGAATATCGATTCGAGTGCGTGGCGAAGTTCTCGAGTTGGAAGCAGTCCGGTGGTCCGAAAGTCTCGAGTGGTCGAAAGTCTCGAGTGGGCCGAAAGTCTCGAGGTGCGCCGAAAGTCTCGTGTGCCGAAAGTCGTCGAGTGGCCGAAAGTCTCGAGTGGGCCGGAAAAGTCTCGGTGGCCGAAAGTCCGAAAGTGCAATCCGTAGTGGCCCGAAAGTCTCGGAGTGGCCGAAACCCGTCTGACAGTGGCCGAAAGTCCCGCAGCTGGCTAAGCTGTGCAAAGTCTTGTGTATCGACAGGTGCAGTGGCCCGAAAAGTCATCGAGTCTGGGCCGACAGATCTCGAGTGGCCCGAAAGTCTCGAGGAAAGTCTCGAGTGCACGAAAATCTTCGATGCCATGAAAATCTCAATATCACCTTAATTCATATACGAAGCGTCATATACTGAAAGATTTTCAATTATCTCGACTCACTGTCGCGCGGAGTAGGAGCGGCCCTCGTAGAGCGGCGGGAAGAGGCCGACGGCCAGGCGCAGCGCGACGGCGCGCGGGCGCGCGGGCTGGCCCAGCTGCTGGCGCAGGCGGAACAGCACGAGCGGGAACCACAGCAGCAGGATGAGCAGCAGCAGGATGGCCACGCCGGCCGCCAGCGGCCCGCACGCCTTGCCGCGGCCCCGCCCGCGCGCGCGCCCGCACGCGCGCTCGAAGGCGCGCTTGCACTGCGCCGAGGCGGAACGACGCGCTTGCGCGGAGTGAAACAGGCTTGCCACATCTACGAAGGCGTTTTCCCAAAAACATCTAAGCATTTATAGAAACATCTGTGTTTAAAACAGGGTTGCCACATCTACGAAGGCTTTTTCCCCAAAATTCAAATCATTTATAGAAATGTCGGTGTTTAAAACAGGGTTGCCACATCTATGAAGGCCTTTCCCCCCAAACATCTAATCATTCATAGAAATGTCGGTGTTTAAAACAGGGTTGCCATATCTATGGAGGCGTTTGTTTTAAACGTTAATGCTTTTATAGAATCATATGTTTAAAACAGCCATATCTATGAAGGCGTTTGTTTCAAACATTAATGCTTTTATAGAATCATGTGTGTTTAAAACAGGGTTGCCACATTTATGAAGGCTTTATTCCCCCAAACATCTAAGCATTTATAGAAACTTCGGTGTTTGAAACAGGGTTGCCATATCTATGAAGTATTTTATCCAAACATCTAAGCATTAATAGGAACTTCGGTTTTTAAAACAGAGTTGCCATATCTATGGAGGCGTTTGTTTTAAACGTTAATTCTTTTATAGAGTCATATGTGTTTAAAACAGGGTTGCCACATCTATGAAGGCGTTTGTTTCATACGTTAATGATTTCATAGGATCATATGTGTTTAAAACAGGGTTGCCAAATCTATGAAGGCTTTTTTCCAAACATCTAAGCATTTATAGAAATGTAGCTGTTTAAAACCGAGTTGCTATATTTATGAAGGCGTGTTTTCCAAACATCTAAGCATTTATAGAAACTTTGGTGTGTAAAATACGGTTGCCACATCTGTGAAGGTGCTTTCCAAATGTTTATGCTTCTATAGAAACTTCGGTGTTTAAAACAGGATTGACACATCTATGAAGGCGTTTGTTTCAAACACTAATTATTTCTTTTTATAGAATCATATGTGTTTAAAACAGGGTTGCCACATCTATGAATGCTTTTTTTCAAACTTCTAAGCATTTATAGAAATGTAGGTGTTTAAAACAGGGTTGTCAATCTATGAAGGCGTTTTCCAAATAGTTATAAATATATAGAAACTTTGATGTTTAAAACAGGGTTGACACATCTATGAAGGCGTTTGTTTCAAACATTAGCTCTTTCTTTTAATAGAATCATATGTGTATAAAACAGGGTTGCCACATCTATGAAGGCTTTTTTTCCAAACATCTAAGCATTAATCGAAACATCGGTGTTGAAAACAGGGTTGTCACATCTATGAAGGCGTGTATTCCAAACATCTAAACACTTATAGAACCGTCGGTGTTTAAAACTAGGTTGACACATTAATAAACGCGGTTTTTGGAACATATATGCTTCATCAGTGTTTAAAACCGGGTTGCTCTATCTATGAAAGCGTTTTCTATACATCTATTCTTTGATAGAAGAAACATCGGTCTTTAATTTAGGGTTGCAACATGTATGAAGGCGTTTTGTTCCAAAGTTGGGTTCTTTAATAGAAACAGATGTTGAAAACAGGGTTGACATACCTTACAGACAAATAACAAACTAAATTTTGGCGTCTCTCTGCCAGGATGTTCATATTCATGTGATATTCGTAGTTGATGAAATGTTGTAATCGTAAACAATGATATCTTCGGAATGAATGGTTTAAACTAAGTGGAGAAAAGTAGATTTTTTGCAGAGGAAAATACATAATTTAAGTTTCACTCTAACCGTGATTAAAAAATAAGACTTTCATCCTGACAATTGTTTACATTTATTCCTACAAAGTTTCTGAATAGACAAAAATGTATTATATTTATTCACATTTATTATTTGTTATTTATGTATCAAACCATTTTAATTTCTTGGTGTATACATTTTGCTTCAGGGACTACAAAACAGAAATTCATTTCCACTACCTTGAGGTCGTACACGCTGTGGTAGCAGTCCTCCAGTTTGAACCACTCCATGAGGGTGAAGGACGTGTCGGTGGAGAGCCAGTCAATCACGTTGCGAAGCTCCACGAATAATGGCGCCCACATGTAGCTGCGGTCGCGAAACAGAAATCAGAGAGAATTCTCCCCACAATGTTCATCTCTCCCTCGTTTGCTTTCTTCTCTCTCTCTCTCTCTCTCATCTCTCTCACTCTCTCTCACCTCTCACTCTCTCTCACCTCTCACTCTCTCTCACCTCTCACTCTCTCTCACCTCTCTCTCTCACCTCTCACTCTCTCTCACTCTCTCTCACCTCTCACTCTCTCTCACCTCTCACTCTCTCTCACCTCCCTCTCTCTCACCTCCCTCTCTCTCTCACCTCACCTCACCTCTCTCTCTCTCTCACCTCACCTCTCTCTCTCTCTCACCTCACCTCTCTCTCTCTCCCGTAATCTCTATATTGCGCTGCCTACCTCGTGCTCTCTCTCTCTCGTTCTCTCGCGCGCTCTCTCGTAATTTATCTTGTGATTTCTCTCGTCCCGCCCTCGATTTCTCTTTTTCTCACCCTCTTACCCCACTTTTAGTCCCTCTCTAGTGCGCGCTCCATTTTGGCACCTTACTCTTTTCTCTCTCTCGTCCAGCTTTTCAGCCACTTCGCTCATTTCTCTTCTGCCTCGCGCTTGAGCTCTCTCTCTCTCTTTATCGCACTCTCTGCCCTCTTATGAGTTATGCCTCTCCGCCTCAATCGTTCTGACCTATCACATTGTCACTCATTTACTTCCCCCAAACTGTCTCTCCATTTCTGTCTGTTACCAAAGTGAATTTCAGATTTTAAAATTTGTGCCAGGCATCTGATTAGCCAATTAGGAGCCCTCGTTTGGCCGAATCAAATTTAATCTCCTTCATTTTTGATTTGATTTCCATCGAGATTAAATTCAATTGCAATCATACATTAAATCTAAAATCGCGTGGATTAGTATGCAAAAAGAAACTGGGTCAATGAAATAAACGCAACTAAAGCAAAACACTTTTCATTACTTGCAGGGTTGTGCAGTATTTAAATACGATATTTGAAATTTGTATTTTAAATACATTTTTATTTGAAAAACTCTATCTTTGGCATTTCTGGTCATGTATTTTGGAGATATATTCAAATACAAAAATTGACGTATATAAAAAAGAAATATTTAAAATACTTAAAATACAAACGAAGAGAACTAGTATAGGTTTTTGTTTGACTCTGAAAGTGAATACTATTTTTAAGCATTATTAGAAGCTACTTTCAGCTGTTAATTTGCATTCTGTTAATTTTTAAATGATAAATCTAAATCAAATTAAAGGGTGGGTAAATATTCGGCAATAAAAAGAGTTGTTTTGTTACAACACAATTTTATGTTCATTTGTACAGATACACGACTGTTTTCCTTTTGCGAATTTTATAATTCGCCAACTACTGGTTTATTGTCTGATGATTTGTTTGAGAAATTACTCGTTTTAAAAGGAAATTTCTTTTATTGAGTTTGTCACATTTTTTTACATCGTTTTATATTTAAAAGTATACATACAAACACACATACACACACAATATACAGAATGAATAACGTTACTTAAGCACCTCCTAATACTTTGGAACGGTTGACGTTATTACTCGTACAATGCAGTCTTCAGGGAAGTGCTTGAGGGAATGGGGCTAATTGATACGTGTATTTATTTCTATTTTATCACTTGTATTTTGCGAGATATTTGAGGTAACTGTTTTTTCAAATAGAAATATACATATATTTCGGCCAGACCGAAGGCTTCCGCGGCCGGAGTCAGTATTTACTAGGCTGTCCGGGCGACGCCGCGTCCATGGCGAAGGTGC